GTGGGAAGGAATTAACTGTGATGAGATGAAGCAATATGCCCAAGATCCAAGCGCAGTGACCGCGCCAGCACTGGAACTCAGGTCTGCTGACCGCCAGAACAGGCCAGTGCTCTTTTGCCCAAGGCTAAACATATAACTAACAAGAAGGTAAAATGAGTCCCTGCTTTCTAAATTCCAGCAACGCCCAACTTCCCACCCTCTCCCACCCCCCTCAACATATCTTACTTCTGTAAACAGGCAATTGTGACCAGCGTCTCTTCTAAGGCTTTTTGGTTGAGTGCTGCCTGACTTAGCTGCAGGGCTGATATTCTAAATATGTAACAACTGGTATGACCCAAGCACTGACCAATCAGAAGGAGCCCTGGCCCCCTGAAGGGTCAGGCACCTGGGGGCTCCCCTCGCCTGCAGTGGGCCACATTAGCCCAAGGGGGGTGGGGTGGAATCAGAGGGATCCCAGGAAAGCTCTGCGTAGGGCAGCTTCGGAAGGGAAACTTGTAAAGGATCCAGTCTTCTGTCATTTGTATGCCGTGTGTGCAGTGTTTTTGATTTATCATTCATTCAACAAATATTAAATCCCTACGATGTGCAGAATCTCCTGGGAAAAACAAAGGCAGTCAGACATGCCCTCACGTCTTAGCTTATTTCCTGATAGACTACATAAGAAATGTACCTCAGTAGCTACACTAGATACCAGAAAGTGGTCTGTGATTTAATATGGGTCCAGGAAAATGGGTGTGGCAGACAAAAAAGGAGGGATCTTTCTGCTTGTAGATCAGAGAAGCCTTTCTGGAGCGCTCATTTCAGCTGTGGCTTTTAAAGGGTGGGGAAGATTTCGTGAGGAAGAGCTAAAAGGGACCAGGCTGCGGGAAGAAAAGTGGCACACACAGGTAAGAAAGCAAGAAAGCAAGAAGGAAGGAAGGAAGGAAGGGAGGAAGGAAGGAAGGAAGGAAGGAAGGAAGGAAGGAAGGAGGAGGAGGGAGGGAGGGAGGGAGGGAGGAGGGAGGAAGGGAGGAGGGAGGGAGGGAGGGAGGAGGGAGGGGAGGGAGGGAGGGAGGAGGAAGGGAGGAGGGAGGGAGGGAGGGAGGAAGGGGGGAGGGAGGAAGGAAGGAGGGAGGGAGAAAAAAATTGTCAGGTAAGTAAAGGCAACAGCTGTAGTCCATCCTGGCTAGAGTGCATGCGAAGGCATCAGCACTCAGTGGAGGTGGCAGACAGGTAAGGGGGTGGGAGTGATCCCTGCAGTTCAAGGCAAGTTCCCTGGGAGCCCTCTCATTTCTAAATTGGCCAGGCACTCCCTCCCTCAGTTCTTACCAAACTAAAGAACAAGCAGGCATCTGCCAAGTGGCCTGAGGAAATTCATATCCTTGCCTGGCTCTGAGGAGGCAGGAGAGTGTTGGCGATTGAATGCTGCCCCTGGAACCGCTGCCTGGGAACAGGATGCATTCTCCCAGCCGGCTTGGAGGCAGCCCAGCGCTCTAATCCAGTCTGGTTCTGGAGCCAGAAGGGAGTGCTCGGCCATGGGCGGCGGGTGCTCCCTAGTGCAGTGATGGCGAACCTATGACATGCGTGTCACAGGTGACACGCAAACTCATTTTTTTGGTTGACTTTTTCTTTGTTAAATGGCATTTAAATATATAAAATAAATATCAAAAATATAAGTCTTTGTTTTACTATGGTTGCAAATATCAAAAAATTTTTATATGTGACACGGCACCAGAGTTAAGTTAGGGTTTTTCAAAATGCTGACACGCCGAGCTCAAAAGGTTTGCCATCACTGCCCTAGTTCCTAGCACAAACTCAATGTAGTTGGAGGTGGGGAAGGGGAGGGCTGGCAAAAGACAGAAGTAGGAGTAGGCAGAGAGGGCATTTGAGAAGGATGCTTGATGCTCAGAGTCTGATGCAGAAAAACTTGGGAGAGATTAGAAAGTTGTTTTGCCATCCTCTAGAGTAGATGAGCCCCCTCATAATGTTAGTTTAATGACAGAAACTAGTAATGTGATAAAAGTAAGAGCATGGGCTGCAGGGATCCACCAACCTGGTCCAAGTCCTTGCCTTGTCAGGAGAGCACAGTTCCTGTTTCCCTAGAGTGATGCACTGGCAGCGAGGGTGCACGGATTCAGGTGAAGTTAGGAAAAGGGAAATCAGTGAGTAACAGTTTGTCAGTGCTTCTCTACCATAATGCAGGGAAGACGGGGCTCTGTTCTCCAGAACTGTAGAGTCCTCACCAGAAATACCTTAGAGCAAATGCACATGGGATAACTGGCCACCCTGTCTGAGGGCTGTGCTCCCTGAGAGCAGCCTGCTCCCTCTGCCCTTAATCTGCCTTCTGATCTGCAACCCAGTTTCCCGAGTGGCCTTGTGTTAGCGCATCCTGTATACATAGCCAGCACAGTTTTCAGACAAAGCCTTTCTCCTATTGCCCTGTTTTTCAGATTGGAGTCTTTAATCACATTCACAGAGAGGTCCATGAATTCTTTAGAATAATTTTAAAGTTAGTGTTTTCATTTTCAAGATAAATAAAAAATTTAACATAAGCATTACCTGGATTGACACCTTTTTTACAGAGTAATGCCATGTAATAGCAAAGCCCAGTCTGGATTTGCCCTTATGGCTGTTTTTAAAGTCTCATAATGTAAGTGTGAATTTAATGTTACTCAAACTGGGATATAGTCAAGAGTCTACAAGTTTTCAATTTTGAGAAAGAGTAGCTGTTATAAAGAATCTAGCAGGCTGGTTTATACATCAGTCTCATGAGTTTGGCTATGATGAACTGATCCTTTCCAGCTTAACCACTCAGAGTGAAGAGGCCCAGAAGTTACTGACCCTGTAAAGGTGAGGATCAGATCTGTCATATTTGTACCAATATATTGCCAATCAGCAAAGCAGCCAGATGCCTCCTGAAAAGCTCTGCTCTCTTTTGTGGGACAGATGGATTGTGATTGGTTAATTGGAGAAACCAATCTTAGACTTGAAATAAAAGACTTTGGTCCTAAATCCCTTAATCTCTGCTCTGAAACTTATAAAATACTAGAGGCTCTGTGCATGAAATTTCATGCACTGGAGGGGGGTCCCTCAGCCAAGCCTGCCCCTTCTCACAGTCCAGGAGCCCTCAGGGGCAGGAAGCAACCCGGCGATCAGGGGAAGGCGACGCCCCCATCACACCTCTGCTGCTGCCACTGCCGGCAGTGCAAGCCTCGGCCGGCCCTGGTTACCTGAGCCTTGGGCAGCCGCCATCCGAAGTTTGCCTGCGCCTCGGGCTGGCCCTGGGTGGCTGGGGGGCTAAGGGGACTGGGCACCACCATCTTGTGGCTATGGGTGCCACCATCTTTGAGGGCATGGCAATCAATTAGCATATTCCCCCCTTATTGGCTGTGGGTGCTGCCATCTTTGTGACGGCATGAGGGTCAATTAGCATATTCCCAATTTATTAGATAGGATAGGCAATACTACTACTACCATCACCACCCCCAGGGATGTTGTGCTAATAATTTCTGGCTTTCTGTCATGCTGGGTCTGTGTAGCCCCACTCCTGACACAGTACTCTAGGGGCTTACAATTCGATGAGATGAGAACAGAGAGGCATGAGAAAGAACAATGTTTGGGAAAGTCATCCCTGAAGTCTGGAGACTAGCTCTGGGGGAACTAGCAAAGTTTCTTTAGGCAAATAGTGCATCTCCCAGTTGCAGTAAACATTTTGGATGCAAGTTACAAAGTCACAGAGGGAACTCATTGGCTCTTATAACTAGGGGTGCAGGGTGGGTCGCGTTTCAGGTGTGGAGGCAGCGGCTCTGCGCTGCCCTCAGGACAATCTCTTTCTGCCCCCCCCCCACACACACACACACCCTGTCCTGCCAAACACAGCATGTGCCTCACTCTCAGGCTGGCTCTCCACATGGGCATAGGGTGGCTGCCAGCAATGTGGAGGCTACATGCTTCCTCATTTGGGGTGCTGCTTATGCTCAGCCTTCCAAGCAAGAATTCCAAGATTTACCCTGATTAGCATCCTTGACATCTCTCTTCTCCAACATTCCACATCCAGTCTACCAGAGAATTGTTGGGTCTACCTTCAAAATATATCTACATCCAACCAGCCCTCACCACTTCCACTGTTACCATCCTATTGCCAGCCATTGGCATGTCACCTGGATTATTGGAGTCATTTCCTAACTGGTCTCCCTGCTTCTGCTCCTGTCCTCAGTGCAGCAGCCTGAGTGATATTTTACAAATGAAAGTCAGACCATGTCACTGCTCAGAATCCTCCTATAGCTTCCCATCTCGCCAACTGAAAGCCAACAGCCTATAGGGCGTGATCTGGCTCCCCTGTAACCTTTCTGACCTCACTGCCTGTCACCCCCCCCCCCCCCCCCCCCCCCCCCCGCACACACACACACACACACACACACTCCACTCCGGCCACACTGGCCTCTGGTTTCTATTAAAATGCCAGGTGCGCTCAGCTAATGACTGGGGACTCTGTATTGGCTGTCCCTTCTGCCTGAGACGCTCTTCTCCCAGAGAGCTACATGGCCCACTTTCAAGTCACTTTGTCAGTGACGCCTACCCAAGGCACCCACTGAAAATTGCCAGGCCCACAGACACCCTGCACTCAGGATCCCCACCCTTACTTATTTTTCCCCACAGTACTGCTCACCTAGTATATTTATTGATTGATTGACCGTTTCCTCCCAGCTAGGATGTAAGGTATTCTTGTCTATTTGTTTTACAGATGTTTCCCCAGACCCCGGACTAGTATTTAGTTGATAGCAGGTGTTAAAAAATTTTTAAGTGAACAAATGCTTTCGACTGACCTGGATACCCAGTCTACTTCTGAAGTCTTGGGTGGGAAGGGGGTGGTGCTTAAATCCTTACAGCTGGGAATAGGACCTCCCAAATTGGACTAAACTGGGTGACTCCAGAGCTTAGAGTTTAGATTATGCTCCAAGAAAGAAGCTGGTAAGAATCGACAGGTAATGAGGTTAACAGCACCCGTAGTGGTTATTGAATATAATTATTCCTGGGTCCCATCACAAAACTACAAATCAAAATTTTGAGGGGTGGGGTAATCAATCTGCTTCCAAAAATATTTCTTTCTTTCTTGTTCTTTTTTATTTTTATCTTTTTAATCAGCAGGCCCAGGTGATTCTTCTAATCACTAAAACTGAGAATAGTTTGCAGAATGCTCAGCAGGCTCAACACAGGTGTAATAGGAAACACGACTATACCATGACAAAGAGAACTGAGATATAATGAGTGGTATTAAGCGAACAGAAGGAAGAATGTATAAATAGAAGAGGAAAGATGTTCTCACATTTAGAAGAAGGAAACCCAAAGACCAACATGTGGGGAGTGTGTTCCCAGCACTGTCCAAGGGATGGAGACTAGACCTAGGGATGACAGACAATCTGGCCCCTAGCCAGGGTTGGGAGGTGATTTGTCAAGCTCTGCAACTAGTATTAGTTTGTTAGGGCTGCCTTAAAAAGTTAAAGCAACCAGCTGGTTTAAACTACTTATTGTCTCAAAGTGCTGGAGGCTAGACGTCTCAAGGAGCTGGCAGGATTGATTCCTTCTGGGTGCGGGCTGGGCAGCGAGGGGGAATTCATTCTGTGCCCCTCTTCTGGCTTCTGGGGATGTGCTGGCAAATCCTTGGGGTTCCTTGGCTTAAAGATGCATCATGCCGATCTCTGCCTTCATCCTCACATGACGTCTTCCCTCTATGTGTGCATCTGTGTACAAATTTTCCTTTTTTTACAAGGACACCAGTCATACTGGATTAAGAGCCACTCTACTCTTAATCTTAACAAAGTACATCTGCAATGAATCTGTTTCCAAATAGGTCACATCCTGAGGTGTTAGGAGTTAGGACTTCGACATGTGAATTGGGAGGGGACACAATTCAACCCATAACACCATCCCTTTCTCTGTTGTGATTGTGAGATCGCCAAACAACTTCCTGGGCACTAGGAGTGTTCCCAGGTACCCAGGATTGAGCAGCGAGGGTCCTGGAGAACATAGCCACGCGTCCTTGGTCACTGGAGAAGAATGTCCCCATGTGAGTGGTCATGCCGTTCACTTAAGAGTCTTCGGTGAGTCTGGCTAGCATGAATCCATTCCTGAAAGCCTGGTCACTGTAGTTGCACTGACAATGTGAGTTTTGGGGACTACACAGCTGTCAAACCCCATCTATCCAAAATGATGGATGTCATTACAAAGGGGGTGGAGATACCTGAGTCACAGGCAGGGATTCCCAGATATTCAGCCACAGACAGTCCATCCTTTCACTGGTCCATCTTCCCTGAACAACAGGCATTTTGAAAAGTGGTAAACTTCTGAGCTCGTCCTAGGACCTGAGTGAATAAAGCTGTCAACCCAGGAAAATGCACACCTGCCTTTACTAAGCTCTGACAAGACAGCCAGGTACCTTTTGTATCTGGGAGCCTCCACCCAGGAGAAGAAAGGTCTTGATTTCAACTTAAATATTCTTGCTTGTCAGCATCCTTTTCTGGCTTCATCAAATGTCTTTCAGGTATCGTGTCCCTAAAAAGAATACAAGGCTAAGACTTAGTGGAAGATCTCAGAAGGCCCAGACATTGTCATAAACTAGGAAAGATGTTCTCTTAGACTACCTTAGAGATTTTATCGATTAATCTCCTTGTCTATCCATACAAAAGGACACAATCAAATGGCCTTAAAATGGCTCAGTTATGGTTGGTTACATATGTAACATGAACTCTCTGGGCCATTAACACTAATTCTAAGCTGGAGAGTTTTAGATCCAGGCTAGGTTTTTATTTAAAACTCAAATCACAATAGCCAAAACTTGAGTACAATGAGATTTCCAAACCCTAGTCATTGACCCAGAATTTAATCCAATAAAATTTTAATACAGTTAGAAGCCCTCTTACCAGAACACTACTTAACCAACTCACTGGCTTAACCTTCACTCTCTATCCCTCTCAAACCCCCCACTGATGCCAGGTGTACTGAATGCTAGGAGGCTACTGTTTAACACAGTATTTTTCAAACTGTCAGTCTTCATATCAACGTACTGGGTTGAAATAAATTCACTGGGTCATGACTAGCATTTTTAAAATGAAACAGAACAGAATGGTTGAATAGTATGCTTAGAATCACTTATTTCTTCTAAAATGTGTTTACTGCCTCATAAAACAATGAAATATGAGTGTGGGAAAAACCCGGAACAAATAAAAGGAGACATGAAAAATGATATAAAAATAAAGTTGAATGCTTTGAAAAGATTCTATAAAGGCAGGTCACTTAAAAATAAGTAATAAAAACTGATGTTAAATTAGTTTTGAGCTAGAAAACTGTAAGAGATGAGGAAGAAATTGTAAAGCCTAAAGGAACTCCACACAGATACTGTTTTATGCGTCTTTAGCTCTTTCTCCACTGTAGAGAAACAAAGGCAAGAAATCCGAAACCCAATCTATCAAGAGTGGGATTAATGCAAGGAAAAAAATGAGTAATTTCAATCCGATCACCCACACAGTGAGCCCAACACCTAAAGACTGGGGAATGAATGTACAATTATATGCTCTAAGTAAAAATAAAAAGTTTAAAGTTCAATATGTTTTATAATTTCAATGACACCTGACAAAAGGACATATATTTTTAAATTTGGGCCAGTTTTTAAAATATGATGAAATAGGATTTGAATGTTATAAACTCATTGCACCTATCAATGTAGAAACCACAAAACAACTACCTTGGCCAGTGTGTTCAGTGGTTAAAGCATCACCCCTCATGCTGAAGGGTTTCCAGTTAGATTCCCGATCAAGGGCATGCAGATTTGATCCCCAGCCCTGGTCCCCTGGTCCGGGCGCATGCAAGAGGCAAGCAATTGATGTGTCTCTCTCACGTCGATGTTCCTCTCCCTTCCTATTTTCCTCTCTCTCTAAAAAATCAATGGGAAAAAAATATCCTTGGGTGAGGATTAACAACAAAATGAAATCACAAAGCAACCTCTTAATGTGTCAAAGAATGACATGATTAGAGCAAAGGACAGGAAACACACACACACACACACACACACACACACACACACACACACAAAACACAGTTTCACACCAGGAAGGACTACTCACTCACAAGCTAAAGACTCATGACCAGCCCAGATAACTAATTTTCTGCAAATCTTTTCCTGCTTCCTTGGCACTGTCCTCTCGCCCCACTAGAAGTAGCTACTCCTTCATGTCCCACTTGCTGCTGTAAGTCTGTCTACGGAGGGACCTCCCAGAGCCCCTGAAATAATTCCCGGTACATCACTGTTTATATATGCATGTCCACCAATTAGACCCAAAGCTCCTGACAGATAAGGGCCCAGCCTTGCCTGGTATTCTTAGCATCAGCCTGGCGCCTGGCACTTGGTAGGTGCTTACTAAATGTTCGTTAAATGAACGACTCTGTGCACAGATGAAGTATTGTCCTAATTTGCAATAAAATGGAACGTAACTGAAGTAATTTGGAAAAATTTTTAAAGTGTTTATAATAAAGGTGGGAGGCACTGGTGTGGCAAAGAAAGATCCAAGTTCACTAGACTGTTACAGCTAGGCTGAAATAACCATCCAGACCATTCCCCTCACTTTGCCTTCACTGTGGACCGACTATGAACCCTTCTATGACGTTGTTTCCCTGCCTGGGATCTTGAAACTACAAAAGTAGTCCCCTAAGTAGGCAGGACAAAAGGAAATGTCTTTCCACGTCAAACTGATGAGCTGATTTTCTAGCGCAAGTCAGAAAAGATTGGCTGGTATGGGAAAAATAAATAGAGCAAAACTACTGCTTTATTCTCAGGATATTTCCCCCTCTATCTCTAACTATCCAAAATATGATCATTTTTATCAGCTACATTATATACATAGTATTTTTCCTGAGTTACAGAGTAATACATACCAACTGTGAAAACAAATTGGAGAGAACTAATAATTACAAAGCCGCAGGGGGGAAACCCACTCCTAACCCTCCAACACCAGGGCATCAGCTCTCACACCTGGCGTCTGGCATGTTCCCATGGAGCCTGGGCCTGGGAGCAGAGAACGACAGGCAGGAGGGAGAACAGATGCAACAAACGTCACTAGTTAATGGTACAATTCCCAGGAGATGGGCATGAGCGGGGCAGGCCCGTTGCTGGGCCCTGTTTGAGATCCTCAGAGCTCAGGTCCTATTGGAAGCCGGGGCTCCCCTGGGGACCTCCAGCCTTGGGGGCTGGGACAAGTTGCGGGCCTTCAGGGAACCCTAAGCTTTCTACCCCCCCCCCCCCCCCCCACACACACACACACTTGCTGGAGGTTTGGGGAGGGTGGCTGCTGGAACGAAGGCCCTCATCCTTCAGGGGCGCTCCCTCCAGCTCACGTCCCTCCCATGGACGTGCGCCTTCCACCTGGAAGGACAACCGCCCGTCCTCTGCAGGCTTCCAACGCGGGGCACCGGCAACGGCCTCATTTCCAGAACCAGGGCCTTTGGAGGGGTCGGCTGCGGGCTGGGGTGTGAGGGGCGCTGCAGCCCTGACCCCCCAGCAAGCGCTTCAGGCCCGAGCCCCGAAGCCAGGCGCACCCGCGGGAAACAGACGGCCACGCTCCCTTCGGCGTCAGGCTCCCGGCTCCCGCCTCCTCCCGGGACTTGGCGGGCCCGGCGGGCTCCGGGCGGCGCTCCAGCTGGGCCACGACCCACTGCTCCCCACGGCTCCCCGCGGCCTCGGCCCCGCAATCTCCGCCCCTCCTCCCCTCCCCTCCCCTTCACCCCCTTCCTGCCTCCCATCCCCCACGCTGCCCGCTAACCTCTTCCCGCCCTTCTCCCCCGCTTCTTCCCTCCCCTCTCCTCCCTCCACCGTCTGGCCTCCCCGCCTCCCTCCCCTCGGGTGCGCTCGCAGGGCAGAGGGCGGCGGGCCGAGGTGGAGCCCCCGCCGCTCCCGGACCCAGATCTGCAAGCCGAGCCACTGACAGCCAAGCGGGCTAAGGGCGCGCACATGGGTTTCCCAGGGGGATCTTCAGGCCAAGGGGGCTTTTCGCACCATCGGCCCCCTCCTGGAGGAAGGGGAAACTGGAGGCAGGACGCAGCTCCGTGGAGCGAGTATCTGGGCGCAGTCGGGGCCCCGAGGCGCGGTGGGAAGAGGGAGAGAGTTTAGGTCGAGTAGCAGGAGCCCCAGGGCACCCAGCCCGCTAAGCCCTGGGCCTCTTCAAGGGCTCTGCGCCCCTCAGTGCCCTCCAGGCCCGGGAGCTGCCGGAACCCTCTGTAGGCCTTCCCCTGGTGTCCTCGGGCTTCGTCAGAGAATAGTAGAATTTGAGGGGAGGGGAGGGGGTGACAACCCTGAGTCTGAAGAATGTAGAGCCAACAGGATGATCTGACCAAAAAGCAAAGCGATGTGCTCAAGGAAAAAATCGGTGTAGGACGATGGTGGGTCCAGAGTAAAAAGAGTCGCTTAAACCTCGGCACTGCCTCTGGCTGGATTTGGGCCTTGAGTGAGCCACTGGAGCTTTCTGAGACCGTTTCTTCTTCTATCAGATGGAGTCCTGATCCCTGCCGTCGGGCTGTGGTGAGGAGAACGGGTGAGGATGCACGTGATAACGTAAACTCTTCTGTCTTCACAGGTTCATGGCCCCGTCGAAGGAGGAAAACAGAGCAGCCTAACCCTGACTCCACGGAGACCTCGGTGAAAGTCATGTTTCCCAACACTGTTTGAGCAATAGCTGGAAGGAGACCCCGGGGTATCACAAAAGTCTTGCAAAACTGTCTTAACCAGGGTAGTCATATTTCACCATCAGTAAAAAATAGCTTGTCATGTAGTGCATCTGAGAGGAGGGAGTGTTATGAATTAAAGATTATATCGAAATAGTGAAAAGATAGATGGAGATTATGAAGCATTCAGTTAAGCCAAATAAAACAGTTTGTTGTGTTACTACAGAGTTCCTCAGAGCCTTCGGTACGTGTATGGTGACTCAAAGAGCGTCCCAGGAGCCAGCATCTCAGGACTGACCCATCTGTCTGGAAACGCACTTGAACACCAAGCCTAGCCTTGGCTCACACCCTCACATACAGGTTGTCCTAATCTCACACTTGGATTTCTAAGCTTCTGGACTTGAGACAAGTCGTGGGCATTTCACCTTCCTCATCGGTAGCCAAATGCTTGCAAAGAATTAAACCTCACAGATCCTTAAGCAAACTTATGCACGCCTCTGTGCCAGATACAGCACAGGGCTACAGGTACACAAGCACATAAAACAAGCAGTCCTGCAGTTCTTGGAGAAGACAAGCACCATTATTAACAATGACACTGAGATCGGCTTCTCCCTTCGAGCAGCTGTCGGCTGGCTTAGAGCAGGGTCTGGTCTCAAACTCAAATGCCTACCAGGGAAGAGACAGGTAGTATAAGGGTGAGAGGCTGGGCCTGCAGAACCTGGAAGAGGGGGAGCCACCGTGGAGCATGTCACTGACATGCAGGCCAGGTTACTACTAGTCTTTCAAGGGAAGCCAGATGTCTTAATTTTTATACGAAGTCACCTGATTTCTAAATGTCAGCAATTAAAACTTTTAGAAAAACACTTGCAGGACCTCAAAACTCTTTCTGTGGGCCTGCAGCTAACTACCCATGTCACCAAAAACTACTCAGAAGTGTGACGATAATGCAAGAAGGTTGAGAAACACTGCTTTATAGCCACTATCACAAAAGGAAGTGTAAGTGCCAGGTAAATAACATTTAATCTTCTTAAGTACCCAGAAATATTTATTATGGGCACAATATGTGTGGGCCTTATTGTTTCGACTGTAATAACCTATGTGCATAAGTCATCAGGCTACTGTGCTTCAGTTTATCCATCAAAAAACAAAAACAAAAAACTTGGCTCTGCCTGAGTAGCAAAAAACTCTAAATTTTCCCAAGCAAAGCAAATGAGGGGAACTGACATGACTGCTGAATTCAAAATATTGTTTTATGATCCCATCCCCTTTAGGGTCTCAGAATACTTGAGTTTGGGGAGGAATCCCAGTGTACACACATACTACACTAGTACTTGTGTAATTGCCAACTGTGTTTTAAAACTGCTGCCCAATACAGTTTGCATTCATTTTGCCAGACATGTCCCCCAACTATAGTTTTTTTTGTTTGCTTTTTTAAGGGATGGAGTTTTGATAAAGATGCTCTAGGATCACTGAAGAGGGGCCCAAATGCCATCCAGCCAGTTTGGCTAAGGTTACTTCAAGGAGAAATATTCAGGCAGATGATTAATTTGGTCAAGAGCAAAAATTAATTTGATTTTCAAATTGTTGGAAGGGGTGCTAGGTTGGCGAGGAACAAAAGAAAAAAGGAAAAGGGAGAGTGAGAACTAACAGCGCCTACTATGTGCAGGCTGTGAGAAAGTGTTATCTGTTTCACAGACACAGCGAGTAAAATAGGCATGAGATTTACCCCACCCCTATCTCTGTGGGGAGCCGCATGGCCATGGCATACTCAGCCCCAGGGCGCCTTATGTCCCATGCCAGCTCAGCCTGGTTCAGTGACCCTGAGTGGGGGCGATGAAAGGCTTAGAAAAGACAGACATGAGAATGAAACCTGGGTCTTGGTGGGATGCTGCCCCTCTGATGGACAGCGCCAGTGACCACAAGCCGTGTCTTTATTTTATAGTAGACGCCACGAGGCAAAGTAGGGGCGTGATCAAGATGTTTACAGCATTCTCGTGGGTTTCAGTCCCACTCAACTATATGCACCTGAACTCTAGCACAAGGCACGTGGGGCCACGTGTTCGGACCACAGGTTCAAGCTCACAACTACAGCTGTTGGCTATAATTGTGCTGGGAAGGCTCTGCCCTCCAAGCTGGGACTTGCACGTGGCAATGAGAGGACTGTGCCCTCTCCTCAGTCCAAGGCTTGA